CGGGGGGGGGGGGGGGGGGGAAGGCTGGGTTCTCCAGCAATTTGAGAGACCCTACAGAGATATGCCCTATGGACTCTCCCTTCATTCGAATAAAGTCTTAGGAATCCTCTGTCTCCTTTTTGGACATTCAGTTCTTGACAGCGAGATTTTTTCACACAATTTGTTATCTTTAATTTGGTATATCAGGTCAGATTTTGGAATTATAATATTCCTCAGAATATCTTGCTGTATTTTATGAACTTAAAATAAGCCTACAGAGACGACATAGTGCACACATAGTATGTTTTTGTTGGCTACATCTAAATAGTAATGGTAATAAAAATACCAGCCTATTTTTACCACAAGTAATTACTTCTGAGCTGCAGATTTAACAGTCTGAAATTTTAAGTAATTACATGGTCTTATATTAATTTCTGTAACAAAATTCAGAATGTATTTATATTAAAACACAGATAAACAAACAAAACAAATTATGTAACACAGAAATTATGAGATATCAATATTTTATTTCCGTGGAAATAAATGAAGCTGTCTATGAAAGCCCACACTCCTCATCTTTCCAATCACATTTTTTTTTTCCTCAGGGTCCTCACAGCTATCACTGAATATGTGGGATAATCTGAGTAATGAGTATCTTGATATATATTCAAGAACTGAAAGTCTTGTGCACTGAAGGCAGCAAGCGGGCTGGGGATGGGGGAGGAAACTAGTAATGATCAGATAATTAACATCCAGTATGAATATACACCATCAGACCAAATTAAACTTGCATCACAGCTGATTCCTCCTTTACAGATGTCTGGTAAGCCTACAAATGTGCATACTAGTTTGTTGTGAACTTCACAAAGCATATCTTACAGTTTTAAGATACCAAATATTTCATTTAGTTTTGAATTACTAAATGACTTGTGATATACACCACTGTATCATACTGCCTAATTTTCTGATGTAAAAAAAAAAAAGGAAAAGAAACTAAGCTTACCCAAAAGCAACATTTTTATTTTATAGTATACTATAGTTAACTGAAATTTCAGAAGCACCTGAAAACCCACTATGACATAACAGCATCAGTACACTCCTCAACTGAATAAAAAGTGTAAGATATACTAGCTAAAAATGTTTCTACTATGTATATCCTCTACTCTGTAAAGTAATAGTACGACTTTTTTTTTAGCCTAACTGAAAGACTTTTAAATATATTTATCCTGAACATGCTATATCATTTCCAACCCATTATAGCAGTAATTTATTTTTTTCTCGTTTCACGTACCATAGTATGAGAAAGAAATACTGTTCATTCTTATTTCAGTTATTTACTGTACATCTTACTTTGAATTAAATTTGTTCTGCTTTTTGTAAAATGTTTATACCCCGGTTCTGTAGCCTTCACTTGTTAGCCATGGACTTATTAAAATATTACACACTTCAAACCAAGATACAAGGCTTGATAAATTAATCGAACACTTTCTTTTTTAACAGCCTTGCTTATTGGTTACAAAAAAAAATCCTCCAGTGAAAATCAATTAGGAGTCTCATTAAAAGGCAGCTTAGCTATTAATAATGCAACACTGAAGTATTTTAGAAATGCTTCTCAATGTTCTTTCACTAATTAAAATATGTTGATCCAAGAATACGGTTTTATTTACATCAAAAAAACTGTAACGAGGGCAAGGTGCCTTCTTAATCACAACACTAGGGGTGGAATCCTTATAAGGTCACTAGCTGTTACTGTGCACTTTTGATATAGACAAGAGAAGCAACCTGCTTACCTAGGCTACCAGACTGTCATACAGCAAAACAGCACAGGGTATATAATGATATTGCTGCAACTGCTATGAGCTTGAGAGACCAGTATCACATTGTGGGGTTTTTTTTTGTTTGTTTGTTTGTTTTGATTTGGTTGATTTGTTTTCTTTGATTGTTTGGGAGTTTGTTTGTTTTGTACAGAAAAATAGAAAAGAAAGATAAACTGCATCCAGCAAGACACATCATGACAGTAAGAGAGAATAGACAGAGCAGGCCAAACCATTGAATTTGCTGGACTGTAGAGGCTTTCCCTCCAACTTCTCAGTTCTAAGCTAATTATCTAAAATTAGTAAAACTCTTTATGTACTAAGGCCACAGAAAAAGCTTTATCATGATATTTAATTTGAGAGAGATTTGCTCAAGCCAAGTAAAAACTGACCAGAAAATAACACTTGTATAGCTCTGAACATGGAAGAATTAAATAGGTGGAAGACTTGTGGAAACTAATTTATCTGTTTTCTATAAACAACTATAGAAAAGCTACAACAGAAAAGTGAACAAATGCCAGAGCATACGTAATACCTACACAAGTTATAGGGAATCCTTTGAAAAGGATTTGAAAGGGATAATCTCTACTCATCAACTGAAAAGCTTGAAACTTCACTCCAAATACTGATTGCCAAAGATCAGGAAAAAAATAATGCTGGGTTGGCCCTTTAAGGGATGTGGATATGTCCTGTAATCAAGAAAAAAAAAAATCCCTGAAGAGTTGAAAGTAACCATAACTACAGAAATTTCTACTGAAAGCATCCTAGTCTACTGCATTCTCAATCTGTATTTTTGTTATTGATGCTTATAAAGATAATATCCAAAGCTTATTTATTTACAGTGGGCTTATCCTCTCTGGTTTATTCAGCAAGTGACAATCCATCACTGAAGACAAGAGTGTACAACTGAATGTAACTACTAGCAAGGAAACTAGGCCTTGTCAGAGAATGCCCTGACCAGATGGTTGTAATACTTTTCCACCTGACCACGAATACAGCTGGTGTGGGGAAAAATAAGATGATGAAAATCTGATTATGCCTTTGATATATATGTATATATATATAAAAGCAAGCATTTGAATACTGATGTCTTTTAAAATATGATCCTATCCTTTGTTTTACACATTGATCTCAACTGCCAATGTGATAAGTCTTTATTAAAACCTTAAATAATTTATACTTAATCCAGTAGTATTAGAAAAAGTGAAAGGAGACCTCAGTATTCCTGTGACTCCTAAAGTACTCAGTATCAAGCATTTAAAAAACAGGGTACATTTTCCTTGCTCAGTTCTAAGCCCCTTGGCATTGTAATTGCACACAGAATGATACGCATTTTTAAAAGATGGACATCTTTTTTTTTGTATTTCTCCTAAGCTCGGGGGTATGCCAACTTTCAGAACTTCTCTGGCTTATATAAGTCTGAAGGCTACTGGCTGTTAAAAGAACACCAAGTCATAAAATGTTACATATTTGTGCTCCTAATGATATAGCTATCATAAAATGCAAAGTAAATACTCCTTTTAAATTTATTTACAACCATAACCCAAAGGATGCACATTTTATAGTTTAAAGTATGGAGGTGCCAGACTAAAAATGATTAAGTTTATTCTCTTAGAGTTTTTATTTAAAAGCATTTTTTTCCATAATTTCATTTTAACAGAGATAAATTCAGCTTATAGATATTGTTCCATTGGTCATTATCCTTAATATAACAATTTAATACATTCCTATTCTAAATCTGAGCTCTATAGTAAGTTTATCATGAGACTTTAGAAGTCATTAATTTTTAAAGAAAATATTTACACTTTAAAAGTAAACATTTATCAAAAAAAAATCAGCAAGTCTGTTTTCAACAGAAAACAAACAACTTGTTTCCATGTGTTTCCAATCATCTGAAAATACCTTCCATTTTTCTGAGAACTTGGAAGTTCTTCATATAAAATATTTAACATTTCAGTAGTGCATAAACAACCATGCCACTTTTTAAACATTTTTTTCTGTATTTATCTATTGCAAACATGTTTGTATATTGTCACAAAATGCAAATTAATAACATTAAGAGAGATATGAAGGGTATAATTAAGAGGCTTAGTTTTTCTTTTCTTATATCCTTGCCCAAAATGGCTACCTCTCATCAAAAATATCAAATCACTGATCAAGGAACTGCTGGACTATAGCACATCCTATTTAAGATGCGGGATGAGCTGCCTCCACTGCTCATCCCTTCCACACACTTCCCTCAGGAGTTACTGTCACCTCATGTCTGCCAGTTGTACAGTTCAACTGAGCATCCCACAGTCGACTTCTGTCAAAATTACAAGACTGGGGAAACTTATTAACAGTGCTCAAATTAAATTGTATCATTTTGATAGGAATCTTGAGATGCAGAGCACTCCTAACCTAAAGCCAGGAGAGCCCTTACAAGTGAGAGCACCCTTATAAAAGAAACAGATCAAAGCAGTCTGGAGGGGGCCTTTGTGAACTCAGCATCAACTCCAATAAGTCTACTTTTGAAGTGGATGTTGTCTACCTTGACTTCAGCAAGGCCTTTGACACAGTCTCCCATAAGATCCTCATAGGAAAGCTCCGAAGTGTGGGTTACATGAATGCAGAGCGAGGTGGATTGAGAACTTGCGGGATGGCAAAGCTCAGGGTCATGATAAATGGGGCCGAGTCTAGCTGGAGGCCTGTGGCCAGTGGTGTCTCCAGGAATCAGTACTGGGCCTGATACTGTTCCACTTGTTCATCAATGACTTGGACGAGGGGACAGAGTGCACCTTGAGCAAGTTTGCGGATGATACCAAACTGGGTGGAGTGGCTGATGCTCCAGAGGGCTGGGCCACCACTCAGAGGGACCTGGACAGGCTGGAGAGTTGGGTACAGAGGAACCTCCTGAGTGATGTTCAAAAAGGACAACTGCAGGGTCATGCACCTGGGGAGGAATAACCTGACACCAGTACAGATTAGGGATTGACCTGCTGGAAAGCAGCTCCACAGAGAGGGATTTGGGAGTCCTGGTTGACAAGTTAACCATGAGTCAGCAATGTGCCTTTGTGGCCAAGAAGGCAAATGGGATCCTGGCCTGCAGCAGGAAGAAATGTTGTCAGCAGGTAAAGGGAGGGGATCCCGCCCCCCTACTCAGCTCTGGTGAGGCTGCGTCTGGAATATTGTGTGCGGTTCTGGCCTCCCCAGTACATGAGGGATGTGGAACCTCTAGAGAGGGTCCAGCTTAGAGCAACAATGATGATTAAGGGACTGGAGCATCTATCTTATGAGGAAAGACTAAGCGAACTAGGCCTGTTTAGTCTAGAGAAGAGAAGAAGACGGAAAGGACATCTGAACAATATAGAAGTGCCTGAGTGGAGAATGAAGAGAGGATGGGGCCAAACTCTTCTCAGTGGTGGCCAGCAACAGAACAAGGGGTAATGGGCGCAAATTGAAACACAGGCAGTTCCATCTCCATATGAGGAAGAACTTCTTTCCTGTGAGGGTGCCAGAGCCCTGGAACAGGCTGCCCAGAGAGGTTGTAGAGTCTCCTTCTCCGGAGATCTTCTAAACCTGCCTTGATGCCACCCTGTGCCACGTGCTCTAGGCCTCCCTGCTGGAGCAGGATGGTTGGACTAGATGATCTCTAGAGGTTCCTTCCAACCTTAACCATTCTGTGACTCATCATAATTTTAGTAAGGACGAAGATATACGAAGAACATTAACACCACCCCCCTAAAACAATAACCACCCATAACTGATGAAACCAAGTTAAAGGCTGCAGAGAAGCCTCACCGCGCAGAATAAAAAGGATTTCCTTTGAAGGAGGACAAAATCTCCCCATCTGTTTCTGAAGGAACCTGCGCGCGTTACGACCACCTTCCAGACCGCAGTGCCTCTCCC